CAAATGAACTAACATCATTCAATCACACTTTTAACAAACCTGATTAAAATAAATAAAACATAATCTCCTTATTTGTTGCATTATCGTTATTTTTCTGTAACTCTGACTACATGTACTAAAAAGATTTAGAAATAATATTTCATAAAAACCTTTAAAATTGCCAGAGAAGTAAGGTAACACCAGTGACAAAAAAATGGTACATGTGGTCTTTAAATAAATGCACACAAAATATAAAAAACATTAAGCTGTCATTTATGTGTATTCATAAAATCAAAAGATGATATAATAACGTGGTCTAAGTTTAAATGTTAAAAAAAGAAATACATTTTAAGACACCTTGCCATAACAAAAGTGGACGTTTCTGTAGAATGACCCAGTTACATCGTGTACTAAGACTGACGGAAAATGAAAAGTTGTGATTTTCTAGGCCGATATGGCTAGGAACTATACTCTCATTCCGCAATTATACTCTCATTCTCATCTTCATGTGCAATGCTATTACGCAGCGCCTGAAAATAATAGTTAATTATGAATCGTTTTGATATTAAGATTTTCTTTTTTCCAACCTGGAACAGTATCAGAAAACAAACCCTCTGAGACTAAGGGTATGTTTACATGACAACAGTGTACTAAAAACTGATCTTTGAAAGGCTTCGCATACAGACAACAATGTTGACAAAAGGGTTAGGGCCTGTTGCTAGTGCATGTCAGGCCAGTAGTTGGCGATGCCACTTTGTAAAGATCACTACTCACCTGCGCATTTACACATTCCTATCCAGCTTTTTCCTAACGAGCCTACTGTGCTTTATATTATGGGAGGCACTTCCAGTTTGGGGAAGTTCTACTAAAACAGACTGCAACAAATCATTTCAAATCATAAGATGGCACTCCAAATAATCCTTATCCTGATTATTTTCATGTTTCCTTTGTATTCTGCTGTAAGTAAATGAAAAAAGACAACATATGCTATGCATTTGTGTGTACTGCTCTCCCGAATTAATAAACGATATAAACCACGAATAATTCCCTGGAATGCATGTCTTCACACAGATGCTGTGAAATGTAATAGCTATGAAATATAGACATATTACTATAATGATGTTTAACACTTCCGTAATATTGCAGAGGATAGAAAGAGGATCTTTAGGAGTTATTCATGGTATGTTAAAAGTAATTTGTTCATGTTTTTACACTTTTACATTTCCATTTAATGACTGATAATTAGCGAGTAAAATAATGTCATCACGGTACCGAGTTCTTGAAAATGCTTATCATTGCGTTCATAGAGTGAACGTTTTGCTGATTGTTTACACGTGTAAATGGAAGTTACGCCCATAATTTGCGCCAAGCATCATGGGGCGTCCGAAAAAGGTGGATAGACTGAATTTTTCGCAAATCTGTGTTTTTGTAGTTTACTGCTGAGACAGTATCGTTTTCAGAAGCGTGCACTTTAAAGCCTGTTTTCAAATGCTTGCATTTTCAGGCCCCCAAAACGCTTCTAAGTTAGTTACTATACGGTTGCTAGGAAACTGCTGTAAAAGTGTCAGGTCAATTTCAGCATTGCTGTGAGTTTGCACTGCATGACAAAAGAAATGTGAATCCGCTCTCTCACTCTCTCCAGCGTGTCGTGGTCCAGAGTGAAGGCCCAGAGCTGCAGCCTGGCGCTCAGATGAGGAACGTTGCCCAGGGTCAGGAGACACTGCTCTGCGGGGCCCAGAGGTGACCGCGGGGCCTGAGCTTCCGCCTCCTTTATCAGATTCAGCTCCTCTTCAGTGGGAACCAGCATCTGCAACCTCTGAGCCACAATAATGTCAGTGAACACTCATGCTTTCCGTTCACTGTTGCTGTAATTTGTCACGTGTGTTAGTCATACATATATAGATTCTGTACTCATGTTGACTTTAATAGCGCTGCAGGGAACACACCTGGATGTCTTCTCTGTCTAGTACAGCGTTGTCCATGCTGTATATGGCAGGAGGAAGCAGGTGAACCGGCGGCAGACTGCTCAGAGCTATAGTGACGATGTTACTGCGCTTCACACCCAAAACAGACACACGCGGCTGCTTCTGCTGCAGGGATGAACAGAGAAAAAGCTGGAAACCTTAATATTTGTCAGAGTTCTTTGTTTTCTGTTTTATAAAGTATACTATTTTATGGAAGTCCATTTCAGCCACGTATGGGAAAATAATCATGTTTTGGTAATATTGTAATTATTAATTTAAATGTCATAAATATGAGCTGTAAAGGCCAAATTTTTACTTTAAATGGCATAATCATGACATACCGTAAAGTAGCAGCTCTGACGTTAAAGTCTATGACATGAAAAGTCGAAATTACGACATGTCACAATTATGAGAAAAGGCAAAAATGTCATACTTTTGACTTTTTAAAGTCATCATTTCAAACTTTTATCTCATAATTTACTTAGCATGTCATCATTTTGGCCAGGACTCCCTGGGAGTAGAGATGTTATATATCTCAATAGGACTAAAACAAAGGATAAATAAAATAATAAATAAATAAAATACAATTTCGACTTTTTATCTCATAATTATGATTTTGTCAAAATTTCGACTGTTTTACTATAGCTTTTTATCTCGTAGTATGTCATAATTTTGACTTTTAAAAAAAAAATTCGACTTCGTATTTCATAATTATGATTTTGTCATAGTTTAGGTTTTTCATCTAATAATCCTGACTTTTGAAGTCATGATTATAACTTGCCAAAGCATGAGTTATTTTTTTGGGCTTCCATAGGCTACTATTGTGGTGCCAGCGATAGCTCTGATCATTACTGAAATATTATCAGACAAAATTATTCTCTGATCTACGGTAATCTTTACTGACACATAAGGATTTAACAGGAATATTTTATTGGGGCAGCGATGTTCATGTGGTCCAGCGACTGTTTACTAGAGCATTACACATTGAAGTCCTACCTGTCGTGCCCCCATCAGACTGCAGAGGGCGCTCTTGTTGCTGCTTTTGCTCTCAAACAGGTATTCCAGTCGATTGGTGTCTAGCTGAACCGGTTCCAGACCGGCCCAGATCGACTGAAGCCCAAAGCGGCCCACCCTCGGCAAAGGCTGCAGACTCAACAGTGCGCTCCAGTGGAGCCTCAGAGTGCGACAGCCTGACGACTCGCTCACTACAGAGAGGGGCGGGGCCAAAGGGGGAGGAGGCGGGGGGATGGGTGTGGCTGCAATCTGATTGGCCGAAGTTTGTGAGGAGTCTTCATCAGTGCTGTCCAGCTCAAGATCCTCGTCATCCCATAGGTCGGAGAAGTCAAGGGCGTTGAGGCGGAGCAGAGGGGCGTGTTTTACGAGGGAGGACCAGGAGGTGCCTAGAAGAGACGATTCGGCTTCTTTCATTGGATATTCCTGGTGATTCACTCTTGAAGCACTTGAGGAAAGTAAATGCATGTGCAAAAAGATGCTTGCGTGGTAAACCTTGTTCTTTCTCTTCTCCACATAAACCCAATGAGCAAATATCCAATCTGTATATACTTCAGAGTTTAACAGAAATGGTTTACCGCATTAAAAATGACCAGCGTCCATTCATAGTTGCGTCATGAACGTGCTGAAGAACATGCAACTCCTTCACCGTTTTGCTGTAGCAAGATTTGACCAAAAATGAAGAACCATATGTCTGCATGTACTTCAAAATGAAGATAATCCATTCACAGGACCTTCAAGAACGTGCAGCGCACTTTTTATGCAGTGGTTTTTTCAAATGCTGCAGCTCCTCTGAGAATCTCCACTGTAGCTTCTGGTGAAGTTTCAACTTCTACAGCATCTGTCTGAGGGCTCATATTAGAGAGCTTGTCTATGTTATCAAGAGCACCAGTGGATGTCAGACGTTCTCTCGCACTCGGTTGAGGTTTGCATCCTTCAGGGCCGATGCTGCAGTATTTCAGAAGCTGTCCAGTGAATGTCAAATGCTGTAGAGTCCTTTCAGTGTCCAGTATTTGTGAGAGAGAGAGACGTGACACTCCGTCTGCGTCCCAGACGTTATGAGGGGCTGTTTAGACAGAAAAGAGTGTGTTTGTTTGGGCGTTTATTTGAGTTGCGCCCTTTCCCTTCATTTCCTTATCTCTCCAGCATCTCCTGTTTATATCGCTGCTTCTGTACACACAGCTTCACGATCTCTCCGTCTCCACCCTTTCGCTCTCTTTCAGTTTTCCCAGGTTATGATGGCATCCCTCCTTATTCCTTTGAGAGTCAATCCATGCTGGGACTGGGATTGCATATGGTTTTTGATCATACAATCTTGCTACCAGTCAATCATCACTATCACTGTTGCTCATGCATGATGGCTAAGGATCTAAACAACCCTCCAAGTATTAAAGTTCAGTTTAATGACTCTTTAAATCATGTGCATGTTCATAAAACAGGTGAAACAATACAGATGCACTCTGGAAGTTGCCAACATATGACATGTTTTCTTAAAAGTCAACTAAAAGCACTGAAGAGCTCAATTCAAGCAGCTTTAAGAACTGAACTGCCTGGTTGTGTGAAACTAATGCATAGCGATTTTCCAGTTCAGCTCATGTAAACACATCATAAGTCTTTGCAGTTTGATTTCATGCTATTTCTGAGACAGCATGGCTCTTTTATATGGTTGTTTGTATAGGACTTGCCAGCACTTAGCAACCCTTTGGATTGACGTAGTGAAAATAAAGTGTTTTTATCTGCAACCATTATATTTTTTGTCTTTATTTTACTGCAGTAAAGTACATTTGTAACACAGACACAGATATATTTCAAAGAATGCTTGCGGATTTATCTTTTTTTTTATAATATTGTTTTTTTTACATCAATTGTCTTGTTATTTTACAATCACTGGGCTGTTAAACTAATTACGTCTCATGTGGCTCTGTCTCCAAAAGCTGTTTATGTTTGTTTGTAGAGCCGGGGGAAGTGATTGGTGTCACAGGGCTGGATGCTGTCCATAATAGTGTTTAATGAGGTTTAATTAGCTCGAGAGGGCAATCCCAGACTTCAGTCAGATGGGAATGACCGCTGATTAGAATCAGTAGATGTTAAGTTATTAATTATGATGTGAAGGAGATATGTGCGTCAGAACCCCAGCAGTGTCCTTCAATAAGCCATTCAGCTGCTAGACTTCTAGTTTTAAATATGGATTTCATTTCTCTCTCGCTTTCTTTCTTCTTAAAGGAATCCTAATTCCTGTTTTCAGTTAGGTTATTTTATATTCATTAGACTTCTATTGAGTCTTAGATGATTCTTGTCCAAAAATAACAAGGTATTACATAAATGTTTGTTATTGCATTTTTCTCAGTTAGCTCAACACCTTCTAAAATTAATTTTGGGCTTGTCACAGATGGAGAATTATAACAAATATGACGTTTGACAAGCTGACAAAGTGTTACAGGAATAGCTTTAATAACGGAATGAAATCCCCTATAGGGAAACTGTGCATAGACATGACTTGTTCGTAAGTGAAAAGATTTCCAAAACTGTCAAAAAATGTTTTTTAAGATGATTAATCTGTTATATATAAAAATATATATTTATTTGAAAGTGTTATAATACCATTATTCCAAATGAAGGAGGTGTGAGGAGAGAAGTTGTGAGAGTAACACATTTTCCAAGCGAGAAGAGCTAGCTGATGAAATTTGGATAATTTGAGGGGGATTTTAGAAATATTGTAATGTGTGTTAACGCTGCTCTGAGCCTTTGTTTAATGCTTTATTTATTCAGTGCCACAAAAACAAGAAGTATTACACATATGATCAAATTAACTTTAGCTGCCAGAGAAAAAAGAATGCTTTGAGCATTACAAGTTTTCAGTGCTTTTTTTGTTTGTTTAATTTAAAGCCATTTATAAAATGTGAAAAACCTGGTCTACATTGAGCCCACTTCTTCTTATGTACATGGAATTTTCCTAGCAAAATAAATGTATATGTTGTTCTTTACAATTACAATTTTCGTTTTCTGTATTAAAAACTATCATGCACTCCATTTTTCTGTTAATATGCCTATAGAATTCCAAAATCCTTCCAAAATAATCTTGAGTACATACAATGGGGGAAAAACAATTCTTGACCACCACAAAATGCACAGGTGGCCTATACGACATATTAAGCTTAAATCTTTCCAAAGCATGCTCAGCAGGATACATTCTTTGAAGTATTTTGTAAGACACTTCCTTGAACTGCTCTGAGCCTTGTATTTGCAGTGATGGAGCTGAAGCTGAAGCTGTCATCCTCGAGACAACATTGGATTGGTCCTTCGAAACGCCACACGTCATCTCCGCCCCCCACCGCGCACTGCACCGTTATTATTCGACGAGCGACCGACACCGAAACTACAATGTCAAGCATTTACGGGACACCGAGCTCCTCCGCGTTCAAGGACCCGTCCTGATTTCTGAATATACGCGCAAAATCTACGAACAATCAGATGCTATTCCTGGAAGCAAAAGATTGAGATGATGCATCATCTTTCAGACAAGGTAAGTCAAGGGAGACCGCTTTAAGAAGTTCGCGAACGGCCGCGCTTTCGTCGCGCCGACGATCTTCGCGATTTTTGCGCGCTTGTTCCACGCGGAACTCTTAGTTTGTTGTTTGCTTCGCGTGTTTAAAACGACTTTAAATGATTGACAGCACCCGAATGGTTCAGCTACGATGCGGATGTGTTGCGAAATATAATGCAAAGTGGCTCGCGATGGAAAATGCGTGCGAAATATCTGCGCGCTTCGATCGGAGAAAATACGTGCGCCTTTCTTACGCAATAAGCGCGCGGGGCAGATGCGCGTGGGATTGAGCTGAAATCATCAAGGCTTGCTTTCCTTGTAAAAGATGCTTAGAAGAGAAAGAGAACAGTAGATTGCAAGGAGTATAAATATATATATTTTTTATGCACGCATTTCTAAAGCGATTTTTCGGTTTCAGACAGCTGCACAATATGCTTCAAAGTGATGCAACCCCTTCAAAACACCTGTCATGCACATAGTGCTTCACAATTGGATTTGCTTTAGAACCAGGATTTAAACTGGACATAAAAAGTCTGAAAGTTCAGAAGTTCGATTATTGTGCCTTCCTGTGTCATTTTAATGTAAATTTTATTATTGCTATTTGCACCCAGCGTGATTTCCCACTGGCTCTGCATATGTAAGTTCGAGTGGAAGTGGTTCTGTTGGTGCAGCGTGTCTTTATTTATCCCTCGCCCCGTGTAGGTGGAAGTGTGAGTGAGTCAGGGAGAGATGGAGGTGATTAGAAGAAAAGACTCTGACTCAAACGGCCTCTTCTCAGACAACTCGGACAATGACTGTGAGGTATGAACGCCATTATTGGAAAGGTAGGAGTGCCATTATTGGAGCTGCACATGTTCGCTTTCTCTTTCTGTAGGACATGGGGGCTTGTGGACAGACGACTGGAGTGTGTTTGTGTGAAAATACCCCCTTTACCAGCTTCTGTGATCAGCACCCTAAGGAGGTGAGTGTTTATGCACATATATGTATGACAGTGGTGAGCGGGGACTTTTTTAACCGGGTATGCTGAGTGATAAGACACCCCCCCCCCCATCGGATTTTAGGACACTCAAAAGGGATCACAGATGACAAATAAGAAACACCGTGGCAGGTGTCGATTTAAAAGCATACACATTTCCTACCTTATTTGTAAATTAATTTATCTCCAATCCTTCTTCTATCGTTTCAGGTTCATCCATTGTTATTCTAATGCTAGAAAAATATAGCTGGTTTTCCAAGATTACCAGTGAATAGGAGTTAAAACTCACACCCGGGTGACACTACTCCAATAACAGACCATTCAGAATACCCAAAAATATTTAAAATATTGCAAAGTAACCGTGCAACTCTGCAAACAATAATACAATCAGAGAAGGGCTTTAACTGTAAGCAACACGAGTATACGCAAAACAAAGGGAACAATATGATGTTTGTTATTAAAATTTTATATAGCCCACGTATTTATAAATATTTTTTTTAATTTACTGCTTAGGCAATAACGTTAACAATAACATATATCTTCAACATACGTTGTCTATGACCAAAAATGTAAGAAGATGTGTCTTCAGTGGACTTTTAAAATTAGCTTTGCTTGAGAAAACAAACATATACAGTTACACTGTTTTTTCTTTTGATTTAGTCGAGTTGGTTTTGCATCAAACACAATGTGCTTCTCGGCAATCGAGATCTGACAGCAACAGCACATTTTTCCGCTTGGGCGAGCGCTTCGCGAACAGCTTACCTCGCGCATTAAATCAGCCGCAGACCAGCAAATCACTGAGAACGCGCTACAATCCTGACGAGTCATAGCAACAGAGCAGAGGCGAGAAAGCTGTGGAGAATCCGCTCGCCCGGAAGCAACTGCAACTGAATTAGATTTACAGAAAATTACTGCCGTTTGGCAAATACATCATTGTATGTACTTATTCCTAACTCTTTAAGATTTAAGTTACATTTCAAATGACAAGGGATCAACTTATAATCATGTTTAAATGAATTATCCCGTGAACATAACATTCTCTCAAATGGCCTGGGTATGCGGAGCATTCGCAGCTTATGGACGGAATGCCACTGATGTATGATAGTATTCAAAATTTGGGATCAGTAAGATTTATATATATAACTGTATATATATATCTGGTGTAGTCAGCATCACTGATTATAATGAGTTCTATAGTATTTTGTCGCGTTGCTCGCATCCGATGTAGACACGGTGTAACATTGGTTTTGCTTTGTTTCACAGAACTAATCGTTGCCTGGGTTGCGTACGTATGTGTGGGGCGGAGCTATCAAAATAGGGGCGAGACACTTTTGGGGTAGGGGCGTGTTTGTTTTGGTGATTTGAAATATCAACATTGGCTACCAGAAATCACTTACCCCACCTTTAACTTGATCAAAAGTGACAGTAAAGGCATTTATAATGTTACTAAAGAATTCTATTTTAAATAAATGCTGTTCTTTTGAACTTTCTATTCATCAAAGAAACCTGAAAAAAATAATGATATAAAATAATAATAATAATAATAAATGTTTCTTGAGCAGCAAATCAGCATATTAGAATGATTTCTGAAGATCATGTGACACTGAAGACTGGAGTAATGATGCTGAAAATTCAGCTTTGATCACAGACATAAATTACAGTTTATAATATATTCACATAGAAAATTATTATTTTAAATTCTAAAAATATTTCACAATTTTATAGTTTTTACTGTATTTTTAATCAAATAAATGCAGCTTTTACATTTACATTTAGCAGACGCTTTTATCCAAATGATGACAATTGAAGCAATCAAACCAACAAAAGAGCAATAATATACAAGTGCTACTGTATGACAAGTCTCGGTTAGCCTACACGTTATGCAGTACATTTAGCAAGGTCTTATATATACACACACACTCACACATACATACATATACACATACATATATATACAATAAAAAGAAAACACGCAGTTAAAAAATGAATAGAGAGTGCAAGTGTTAGAGGGTTGTTTTTTTTTCTTAAAAAAAAAGATAAAATAGAATTAGAATAGAGAGTGCTAGAGTTAAGCCCAAAGTATACTTCACTTTTTACGCTCATGCGAGGGACAGCAGTTGGCGTGGCGCTAATTTTGTCATTCAAAAATATTAAATTTATAAAAATTAATAAATATAAAAATGTGAAATAAGTGACTTATTTCAAAAAACATCAAAAAACAAACCTGACATAAACTTTTGAACTATATATATAATTTAAATAATAAATAACAGTAATGATAAAAAATAAGAAATAGCGAACATTTTTTGTCTCTATATGTTGATTCAGTCAGACCTTCAATATAAATGTATGTGATTTTCACCTATTTTACCATTTCATAATCCGTTTTGTCTTTGCCTAAGCAAGAACTACAGATAGATCAAAGTACATGGTTTAAATGAAAGGGTCGTGCAGCTTGGCAATCTGTCTCATTGTCTCGTTGTCTGTCATCAGGACTCCAGTGTGAAGTGTGTCCAGTGCGGTAAGAACAGACCCATGATCACCAGATACTCAGAGGGTTACGGCACAGAGGTGGGCACAGCGTCCGCACATCTCTGAATGAATAAGCGCATGCGTGTGTGTGTGTGTGTGTGTTTATACGTGTGCCTCGTGTTCCAGGAGGAGTGTGTCCAGCCTCATCTTCAGGGAGACAGCGACGCAGACGCAGACATCGAGGACACAGACAGCAGGTGTGTGATTGATTGTGATTGTGTGATTGCGCTACACGCGTCCATTTCTTCAGCTCGCTTGCTGCTTTGTGATTCGTTCAGGCTCCAGATTGTGGGGTCCCTCCAGCGAATCAGCTCCCGGAAGAGAAAGCGTCAGCGAATCACGCGGCAGGACACAACGGAGAGCGAAGACGACGGGGGCCGGAGCCACAGGACGCACCGCTGGAGTCTACGACTCAGTCCTCATCGCACACATAACAGGACCATACTGGAGGTGAGCGCTGAATCCCATCGCCAAATTATATTTTACTAAATTTTTAAGTAAATTTTATTTACTTGTACCATTATAAATATACAATATATATATATTTTTTATTATTATACTATTATAGTTTTTATTAATATTTTGAATAATTTTTTTATTTTAGATTAGATTCCATGTCCATTTTAGTTAGTTTCAGTTTCCGTAATTTTGTTGTGTGTTCTTGTCATTTAAAATTGTTTTTTTATTATTAAACATATTTTTTATTAATTTGTATTTAATTTTTAGGTTTAATTGTTTTAGTACCTCAAGGTAACTAAACAAAATTAGAAATGTTGCCTTGGCAACTACTTAAAGTGAAATAAGATTTTTTTGTTACATTATGTTTTTTCATCTGTTAACATTTATTTCATTTCAAGTAAAGAAAAAATTGTAAAACAAATTTAAAATAATTTATATATATATATATATATATATACACATATAACCAAATTATGGAAACAGACAGTTTGAAAGTTTCAATATTGACTGGATTCCTCTTCATTTGAATGTTTCTGTCTCGAAGGAGAGCATTTCTCAGGTGCGGCCGCTGGTAATCTGCCGCTGTGCAGCGCGAGAGAATCAGACCGTCATAGACGACAAACCCGACTGTGGAAAATGGCCCCTGACAGTATTTCCCATCCCTCTTTCTCTCCCTGTGTCCTATTATCTGCTCATCGTCTCTCTCTCCATATCCATTATCATCGTTCTCGTGTCATTCCTCCTACCGCTCACAGACACTTGACACTTAAAATATCACTGTATAACCCTCTTCACCGTATGAATCAATTCATACAGTTGTGTCGACATGTACTGTACAGTGTATTAGACCCTTTTATACAGTGTCATCTATAGAAGCCTGTTTTTGCCACATAAGCAAAAATGCTTTGGTAAATCATTATGAGATAAAAAGTCAAAATTGTGACACATTATGTCAAGGAGATAAAAAGTGATAATATTTGCACTTTTTATATCAAAATTGTGACTTGGTGTGTCACAATTATGATATAAAAAGTGCAAAAATTATGACATAAGTCATAATTATGAGATAAGCTCAAAATTGTGACACTAAGTCATAATGAGATAAGAAGTCATAATTGTGACACACTAACGCCGGTTTCACACTGCACGCGTAAGCAGAGCGTAAGCAGCGCATATTTTTTTTGGCGCCCATGTTAACAGATTATAGAGTATTCACAGCACACGCAGAGGCGGCGCGTAGCAGGAGCAGAGCAGAAGCGGCAGTGCCACGATCGTTTCGGCGCCAAGTCTATTTTTGCTGCACCGCTTACGCTGAATTAAAGCCACAGTGTATTGTTCTTGATCAAAATTGACCTGATTAACATGAAAAATAACAATTTCACCATAAAATCGTGTAAGTGAGGTGTTTCGTGTTTCACAATCATGGGGCAAAAGGCACACAGTATTGATAAATACTTTAGCTAAAATAATGTTTGTTTGTTTTTGTCTAAGTTAATACTTGTTCAAAACAATCACTTTAGCAAAGTTTGTATTAGGCTATTTTCTGCTTATTTTGATTAATAATGTTCAATAAATATACTGTCATTAAAATGTTCATATAAAAATATATTTTAAAATACAGAAATAAAAAGTAAAGATTCTGAAAGCATTGAAGGAGATTCCATAATAATTTAATATAGATTTACAGTAGTAACAACAAATTATATTTTATTATATTATATGATTAATATTGTGTTTTTAAATATGATGGTTTCATTATAAACATGGTGATTATGTCTAAGGTGGACACCCAACATAATATATGATATTTACCATCTGAATCTAACCATGTCATGTCAACAAATGGAAAAGTCAGCCATCTATTATTTATCATGTTAATTATTGTGCCTTTCGCCCCAAAAGCAGGGATGCTTTTTACTCCAAATACCATACTTTTACATATTCTTTTCTTTATTGAAAAACTGTTGCTTTAATTATCTTAAACCAAACTGGGAATCATTAAGAAGACCTTTGTCTCAAAATATATTCAATAATTTTAGCGATTCTTATTTGCTACTTAAATCTACAAAATAAAAAAACCCATCAAATATTAGAGCTAGCACAGAGTTAACTACAAGAAAACGTCTCAGGTTACTTATGTAACCATGGTTCCCTGAGAAGGGAACGAGACACTGCGTCCTCTAGGGGTCGCTATGGGGAATGACTTTGGCATGACCGGTGTCTAAAGCATACATCTAAACACCACAATGATATTGGCCAGCGACAGCCTATGACGTCACTACCGGCGCGACTACAGTATAAATAGGTGCCGGGAGCACACATCATCCACTTCTTCGTCTGAAGCTTACGTCCGAAGCATGGCGAGGAGACTAGAGGGCGCAGTGTCTCGTTCCCTTCTCAGGGAACCATGGTTACATACGTAACCTGAGACGTTCCCTTCCGAGGGAACGAGACACTGCGTTCTCTAGGGGTCGCTATGAGGAATGGTATACCCACGCTGCTATGCTAATGGGAGTGCATGCCAATACCACGGCGAGCACTAAGTACCAACTCAGCAAGTCAAAGGAGCTGCCCCTAGGACGTTTGACGGCTGTCAGTGACATAACCCCCTATGGCCAAAGGCCTGAGCTGTGCACCAAACTTGTATAAAGCCCGAGCCCAAGGCAAAGCTCAAGCCAGGAATAAAAAAATAACCAAGGATTCCTTTAAGGGGATAAGGCTGAGTTTCAGGGCTGCTTACAAACCCATATCTTGCCCTGTCAAACAGAGACTACCTCCTGCTCTAAGAACGAGCTACCGAGGATCTCAAGATACCCAGGGAAACTTAGTAGTAACACCCTGTCTAGAAAGTGAAAATACGGAGAGTGGGGCCCAGGGTAACCAGGGCCAGAGCCAATTTAGAAAAAGGGCATGAGGTAACAACCCTTACCATACGTAACCTGAGACGTTCCCTTCCGAGGGAACGAGACACTGCGTTCTCTAGGGGTCGCTATGAGGAATGGTATACCCACGCTGCTATGCTAATGGGAGTGCATGCCAATACCACGGCGAGCACTAAGTACCAACTCAGCAAGTCAAAGGAGCTGCCCCTAGGACGTTTGACGGCTGTCAGTGACATAACCCCCTATGGCCAAAGGCCTGAGCTGTGCACCAAACTTGTATAAAGCCCGAGCCCAAGGCAAAGCTCAAGCCAGGAATAAAAAAATAACCAAGGATTCCTTTAAGGGGATAAGGCTGAGTTTCAGGGCTGCTTACAAACCCATATCTTGCCCTGTCAAACAGAGACTACCTCCTGCTCTAAGAACGAGCTACCGAGGATCTCAAGATACCCAGGGAAACTTAGTAGTAACACCCTGTCTAGAAAGTGAAAATACGGAGAGTGGGGCCCAGGGTAACCAGGGCCAGAGCCAATTTAGAAAAAGGGCATGAGGTAACAACCCTTACCATAAAGGCTTTTAAGAAGGTGCACAAAGGCTGAGGTGCACACTTGCCATGAATATGGACTTTAGAAAGTGCACAGAGACCTAGCGTGAGCACTTACCATAGATATGGATTTAGAAATACCGTAATGAACCAACGGTTGAGTGGAGCCCAAGGTGAAAACCGGGGCCTAACCATGTCATAGAAAGGGAACGAGGCTACAGCGCGTAACCCTTACCATACAGGATTTTAGAAAGTGCGCAAAATTCCTAGCATGCACACTTACCACAATGTGGAATTTAAAAAGTGCACAGAAGCTGAGCGTGTGCACTTACCATAGCATGGATTTAGAAACACGTCACTAAAGGGTAAGCAAGAACCTGTCCCCTAGACAGGCCTAGACCCTACGTGACTGTGGCCCGCTCAAGGAATGACAATAATTCAGCGGGACGCCGCATGCTCAGAGCGCGTGTAGATTGAAAAAGGTGTATCTTTTGTCTATGTTTTTAGCAACATAGACAAACTCTCCATGTGAGGGGAGAATCACCAACTCAACCAAAAAACAGTCACCTCAAACTGGGAGCGTGCTCATAGGTGACCCTCTAAGTGAGGGGAGCACTGCTAAGCTCGACCAACAAAAAGAGCAGCTTAAGAGGGAAGCCGAAGGAGGCCTAACGACCCGAGGATGCTGCTAAATGGAGCTCCAAGGAACGGAAGACCCAATGAGAGGAGAACTCAGTCGCTCAATTTGGGAGTTGCATGCTCAAAGGTAACCTCTAATGTGAGGGGAGCACTGCTAAACTCACCAACAAAGAGAGCAGCCTAACAGGGAGGCCGAGGGAGGCCTAACAACCTGAGGCTGCTGCACAATGGAGCTCCAAGGAGCAGAGGACCCAAAGAGAGGGGACCTCAGACGCTCAATTGGGAGAGGCGTGCTCAAAGGTAACCCTATAAGGTGAGGGGAGCACTGCTAAACTCACCAACAAAGAGAGCAGCCTAACAGGGAGGCCGAGGGAGGCCTAACAACCTGAGGCTGCTGCACAATGGAGCTCCAAGGAGCAGAGGACCCAAAGAGAGGGGACCTCAGACGCTCAATTGGGAGAGGCGTGCTCAAAGGTAACCCTATAAGGTGAGGGGAGCACTGCTAAACTCACCAACAAAGAGAGCAGCCTAACAGGGAGGCCGAGAGAGGCCTAACAACCTGAAGCTGCTGCTCGATGTCTCCAAAGAGAACCTGAGAAACAACGGGACCCATTAACTCATTCATGCATGAAGAGCTACTGCTCCTTGGAGCCGAATCACTCAGGAAGGGTTTCCGCAGAAACACATCTCACTCATACCTCAGGGATTGCAGCGTACTCAAGCCCACTCCGCAAAGGGGCGATTCACCGGTTCGACCATAAGGGCAGTGTGACAGGGAGGTCCCACAAGCCCGACCGTCTATCCAACTGCAGAGTGGAAAAAGAGTATTAGGCCCCTCAATGCCTCAGGAAGAGGAGCCTTTACATGCATGATGGTTGAGAGGATGACTCAAATCTCAGGAGACCACTCGGGGTGAGACATGACTGGCCGGGGTAGCTTCTTGAAGCAAACTCCCAGCTAGGACATCAGGGAGCACATCACAAAGCAATATACTCCGAAAAATGCTTATCCAAATGGAGGACCGGCAGGTCCTGAAGTTGCAGCGTTATACTGCGGAAAAGTTAGTTAGTGAATTCACATAAACTAGCAATAGATAGATGAGATGAATCGTACACACCAACCACGGCTCCCGCGCAGACTCAAGCTCACAGGTCATCATCTGAAGGCAAAGCCCGAAGAGCCCTTCTGCTTAATGGCACGGAGAACAAGATCTGTGATGTGAAGCAACTCAGCCACCTCATCATAACAATTCACTTCTATGAGAACAAAAGGAAATTACTGATAATTTCCCATCAGGTCCTTTCCCTGTTCTACTGATCAACCGCGAATCGCGGCAACAGGCAGCCAATTCTCAATGCGCAGCACGCCTTCAGCTCCCGTGGGAGCTAAACACGCTCCACCCAAGCACTAGATTACCTCGGAAATCAAGCGAGAACGACAACCGCTGCCGCGAATGTGTCGCTATTCTTGCAAGAGGCAAACACACTCATGCAAACACTATCTACAAACTCGGGTAAGTGGTGAGGTACCAACCTTCCCCTCAGTAGTCTTGTGAATGCATCACGATGAGCACAAGCCATCTCCTAGTGAGACGAGCGCGTTCAATTCATGCTTATGCCTCACAAGAAACAAGCAATGAATGCAGAGCGCATCCAACTCACTCGAGAGCTGAACGCACTTGCTCTTCACCACACACACACACACAGAAACTGAAACTGCGGGTATCAGAGCAAAGCATCTGCCGAGAAAACATGCATTCCTAGTTGTGCTTAACATAAACAAACGTTCAGTGAAGATGAAGAAGAGGATGACATGTTCTACCGGCGCCCTTTTATACTGTGGTCGCACCGGTGATGACGTCATAGGCTGTCGCCAGCCAATATCATTGTCGTGTTTAGATGTATGCTTCAGACACCGCTCACGCTGAAGGCGTTCCCCATTGCGACCCCTAGAGGACACAGTTTGAAGTTCCCTCGGAAGGGAACACATCACTGCCAGGAGTTATTTCCCAAACTTCAAAGGTCTGTTTAAATTATTAAAACTAGAGGCATTTATTAACTTTGAGATTTTTTTTATCATGTAAACTATATGTACAGCATGTTATATGCACGTGACAGAGGGGAACACGGCCGCATCACAGCATGCTGCCCATATCAAAGCACACGACAGACAGTTGTCGAAGAACACCTGAAAAGTGTAACCGAATGAACGATACTCGTCTGAAGTCTGAAAGCACAATGGGCACGCACTGCTCCCGCTCTGCATACGCACCGCTTCTGCACTGCCTCTGCTCTGCTTGCGTGTCCAGTGTGAAACCGGTGTGACATAGTAAGTAATAACTATGAGATAAAAAAGTGGAAATTTATGACATAGTAAGTCATAATTATGAGATAAGGTCAGAATTGTGTCACCAAGTCATAATGAGATAAAAAGCCCAAATTATGACA